GTGTGTGTGTGTGTGTGTGTGTGTGTTATTTGTGTGTGTGTGTTTAAACATGTCGCTGGCTGATATTCACACCAGGTTCACACGAATATTGCTCATTACTCTGATACATTCATTCAGGGCTCAAATTTGGCTTGTTTCTATGTTTACAAAACTTTTGTAGCCCCACTGAGTCATCCCTGGCATCATTCCAATTTTTATTCTAGTTCATGTTGGATGATTGGAGCAGATGAACTTGACATTTATACTGTCAAGATTTAATATTTTAATGAAAAAAACACTTAGCCCACTGAAGGTTATTTTCTTATTTCATTCGTTTTACTCCACCCATATACGTCTATTTGTTTCCTTTTCSCTCCTTGGTATCTGGCACGTCACAGCACACCGCCTGTCACTCAGAGGGACTGTCATATTTTTGGCGCACGTCTGATTTGTGGAAATAAAACCGCTGCTTCRTGTTGTCTGTGGCCGTTTTTAGTTTTGTTCTATCGTAAAAAAGGGAAGTAAAAGATGGGCGCAAACATTCCTGGTTGTTAAAGGGAGAAATTTACAGCTGAGTAATAAAAGTTTACGACTGAATCCTTCCTGCGATTGGCTGCTGCGAGCCACGTGGCTCACGCTCTATGAACATGAACTTTATGCTGTTGTCTATTCCCTGCTCCTTCCCTTGAATCAGCAGCAGACTGTTAGCCAAGAGCGCACAAACGTCTTTGTGTTTTTCTTGCTCTAAATGTAAAAGGGAAGAACTGCACGGTCACTTTGGGTCGTGTGATGTCCACCCGATCTCCGACTTCCTGCCGCTGGGATCTTCGGGACAGTCGCCGCCTCTACTAGCTTCTGCCTGCGTTTGTCGCCCCCCTCCCCCCGGGCCCCCCTCCTCCGGAGGCAATAAAACCTCGACTAGGAAAGAAAAAGAGCAAGCAAGCCTGCAAGAAAAAGACTTTTTCCCCGGCAGACAGACAGCCCGGCTCAGGGAGCGCCTTATCGACAGGGAGAGATGCGCGCCTTGTTGATGTTCCACCTCTTCGCCACATCKTGACCCCCCCTCAGCTGTTTTTGGAAACACATGTGACGCTCCAAACCAAAGGGCTTATAGGTAAGATTACACACTTCTTCTCAAGGCGGTTTGTTTTACCACCCCCACCCCCCATTTCTCTCTGTTTTGTCCCATTCATTGCTGACTTGTGAATGATGTGAGGATGTAAGATCACAGAAGTCGAAGGTGTCCATCCTCTGTTGTTGACCTGACCCTGCAGACGCCCGGAGCGGTTGTGTCATTAGTCCTGAGTGGTGCGGGCGCACCTGCGCGCAAACGCTGACCAGTTGGGTCTGTGCGTTCAGGCAGCCCTTTTCAGACGCGCYGTGCCAGCCTGTTGTGACAAACTGCTCTCTGATATGTAACTTTCTCATCACTCAGAGGCCCTCCTGACCAGGCAGTGACAGATTACACTCAGAGCTGGCTGATGGGCTGTAATTAGCTCTTGCTTTCATACATATTGTCACATGCTGAACGCAGTTTGTGCCAAGAGGGTGGCTATCATATGACGCACATGCCTCTCTCACACACACACGCACACATGCAGCCTCTCTTTCACGCACAGACGCGCGCATGCATATTAAAATGTACATAAATGCATTGGCTTAGGTATGTGGAACATGGTAAACAGTGGCGTCTCTCTGCAGTGCCCCCTAGCGACCAGAGGTGATGCGCATTGCTGTGGGCGGGTGTTGAGTCTTGTTGTTTATGGCTTYTGGTTTTCGGCGGCTGTTCACTGCGGATGTCAGCTGATTCGGCGGATCTGCCTATTGCCAGCCAGTAAAAATGCTCAGGCTGACACCGAGGCGTGTTTCTGAGTGTCTGATTTGTTGTTTTCCTCTTTTTTTCAAGTTGAAGTTTTGCACCTTGCCTTTTTTTGTGTTATTGCTCTTATTAGAGTCCCAGCTAAAACAAATAAGCTGCTTTTACTTTGTGATATGCTCACTAACGAGACGATGAGAAGTGAAGAAGTACTTTTTTTTTTAATTTTTTGCGTAATAGGAAAAACAAATCATGGCTGAAATCCTCTGTAAACATTAGAACAGGTGTGATGTTATAGCTGAGGCAGCTCATTTATATTGTGTTTTCCAAAAAGTCATAAATAGATGATGCAACATATGCTTCAAACACACGGCAGTTTCTCAAATTACATTAACCTCAACCACATTTGATAAAAATCAATGAATGCTGGAGTACTTCCAACAAAACAATACAGACAAAATATAAAACCTCATTTCAGTAAAGAAATTAAGCTATTTCGTGTTGCAAAAATATTACTACCTGTAAATAAATGTTTGTAGAAGTGTGTATGTGTGTGTGTGATGCTTTTTTGTGCATATGAAGCTGAAAGCGCTTTTTTTATCCAAGCTTGGAGAAATGTCCCCTCTGTGTTTTGTCTGCCCTGAGACAAAATATGGTGCAATAAAAAAAGGGATTTCGTGTGTGTGTGTGTGTGTGTGTGTGTGTGTGTGTGTGTGTGTGTGTGTGTGTGTGTGTGTGTGT